GACAGACACACACACACACACACACACACACACACACACACAGAGCTGACCTGCGGTAGTCGAGTCCAATCAAATAAACCACTGCCACAAAGCCAGACCAGTAATTACGGTCGAGCGGTTGCAGCATGTGAGTTTAAATATAGAGTGCTTCAGATCCGGATCATGATTAGAGTGGCCAGAAATCTGGTTTTAGGTGGGACAGTCCGGTTTTGAAATACCATATCCGCCTACTGGCACAGACTTGAGCCGGACGCTCATGTGTCCTTTTAAGATCGCTATTTTACACTTTGTACAATGGTGTAAAATAAATAAATAAATAAATGCTAATGTTTTGTTTAAGTCTGTACAATAGTGTACAATAAATAAATGCTAAAGTTATGTTCAAGTTTGAACAACAGTATAGAATTAATAAATAAATGCTAATTTTAAGTTTGTACACTAGTGTATAATAAACAAACAAACAAACAAACAATTGAACAATAGCAGCTAATAAATAAACACTAATGTAATGTTCAATTTTGAACAATAGTGCATAATAAATAAATAAATGCTATTTTTATGTTCTAAGTTTGAACAACAGTATACAATAAATAAATAAATAAATAAATAAATGCTAATGTTATGTTACATTTTGAAAAATAGTGTATAATAAATAAATAAATGGTAATGTTATGTTCAAGTTTGAACAATAGTGTATAATAAATAAGTAAATAAAAGCTAATTTTATGTTCAAGTCTGAACAATAGTGCATAAATAAATAAATAAATAAAGAATATAGCTGTGTTTCAGGACTGGACTGTGATTAGTTCAATGGTGTGTAACTAACAAGCAAATAAAGAAATGTTATGTACAGTTAATAATTAAGTAATTTACATTTTAGACACAATATTGTCAGTATGGACTGTTTTGCTCTATTTCGCCAATCACTATCTCTGATCATCACAGTGGTGTTTCGTTCCTGAATGATTCAGCGTATTTGAACAAATAAGGTGAGCCAGTGATTCAATAAGCCATTCATAAAGACAGTTGCTAAATTCAAAAATGCATACTAGTGTACTACTCTTACTATTTTTCAGCATATATTTTTATGGCAAAAATAGTAAGAGTATTATGCCAGCAAATCACTCGCTTCACTCCTGAATGTATCAGCCGTTTTGAACAAATCTGTTGAATGAGTGAATCAATGACTCGCTTATTAAGACAGTGACTTGTTGCCACCTACTGACAGTTTTAGTTTCATATTTAAAGTATCCATTCACAGTTCTATATTCAATCTATTTTATATTTAAAACATAAAATCTCATAACATGCAATTGTAACTGCAGTGTAAATGCATTCATGGCATCTCTGAGCTGCATTAAACAGTCTGTATAAATATATCAGATGCAGCTTGTGTGCCACTTCTGCAGCGCAAATATGGATTTTATTGATACTGATTTCATTTGGCTGGTATCAGTCCTACTGTGTTTTATTATTCAGATTGCATTTCTTGAGTAGATTTAAGAATTTACACGAACGTATGCACATCTACTTTACTAAGGTTAGAAAATTCGCCCTTAAAAAGGTAAAAATGCCCATGGAAATTAATTTAACCCTCATAATGCATTCAAAATCTAAGAATATATAATCTGAGAATTCCCAGTATTAACCCCATTGGAATGAATGGAATTTAATTAAATTCCTCTGACTTAATAACTCATGATTGCTCAAAAACAGTCCAAATTTATAATATTTATTTGTAACGAAACAACATCAAACAACATAATTAATTCTACATGCATAAACTTTTACTTTCAGATGAAAAAAGTGATTTCATGCTGCAATGGTTCATCAGTAGGCGCACATATTCATGTTCAGCAACAAATATCAGTCCCAAAAGCATGTGAGATATTGGAAAAGGCTAAATATATTTTACAAAAGATTTTCGACACTAATATAACTTCACAGATAATTGAACAAAAAATAAATGATGTGTATTTCGAGGGTCTTAAAACACTTGCAAAGTTTCGTTCCCTTACTGAAAACTACGTTTTTAGACATTTTTATGTATCTCTTGCGTGTCAAAACAGGGGAAGGCAAATTTAAAGGGGTAATTTTCGCTCTTTAATAGAAAAGTTCATTTCTGTCACTGGTTTTGGATTACTTTTCAGTTTTTATCCTGGCTTCACTGAATCCTGCACAGTGGTGTTACAGAAACGGTCACACTGACGTTGATGGATCTATTTACTGAGCTTAAATTAGGAATGCCGCTGTCCTCGGATCATTTGGAAAAACGCACAGCACAAACCTTTTTGGATCGATTAGTCTGCTGCTTTTAGACACGGCCTGCAATCGAATCTGGCGCCTGAAGCCGGTTAGCACACTAACATGATTAGCCCTGAAATGCATCGAGTGAAAAAGGCCAAAGGCTTTTATGGAAACAGCCGGGTCAGACCTACGACATACAAACGGCCTGCGATTTATCTCTAATGAAATCTGTCCGTGCTCGTGGAATCGGTCCGAAGCATCGCTTGCTGTTTCTGATGGGATCGGGTTTATTGTGGAGATGCTGAGACCATTGAGACTCTCGACCTCGTTACTGTCTTTATGTGTCTCTGACATGAGACACAAATGTGCATATAAAAGCAAATAATATTTTTTTGAACAAGATAACACTTCTGTGATTTTTTTTTTTTTTCATTTAATTTTATTTAGGTTAAGTGTCTTGATCAAGAACATAATAGTGATAGAAGATTTTTTTATTTTTTTTTTCATTTTATTTAGGTTATTTATTTAGGTTAAGTGTGTTGATCAAGAGGATAACAGTAAAAGTAGTTTTAATTTAATTTTTTAAATTTTTAAATTTTAATTTTATTTAGGTTAAGTGTCTTGATCAAGAGCATAATAGTAATAGTAGATTTTATTTTATTTTTTCATTTTATTTATTTAGGTTAAGTGTGTTGATCAAGAGGATAACAGTAAAAGTAGTTTTAATTTTAATTTTTTAATTTTAATTTTATTTAGGTTAAGTGTCTTGATCAAGAGCATTATAGTAGCAGTACATTTAATTTTATTATTATTTTTCTTTTTTTTTTATTTAGGATAAGAATTTTGATCAAGATGATAACAGTAAAATTAGTTTTAATTTTATTTTTGTAATTTTTTCATTTTAATTTTATTTAGGTTAAGTGTCTTGATCAAGAGCATAACAGTGCTTTTTTTTTTTTTTTAATCTAAAGAAAATCTAAAAAACAAAAATAAATATTACAGTTCAGTGTTTGATTTTAAGGATAAAATAAATACATCTACAATTTATACAACATATAAACATTTTACAGTAATGAGATTCTGGGGGGAAAATGTTCTTCATCAACTGTACACACAATAATTTGTACATTCAACACTTCAGAAATTTCCACCCATACTCTTAAATTAGGAAACAAGAGTGGAAAAGTTTGGTCTTAAATAAAATCCCACTGGACATTTCACCCTGTAAATATGATAATTCTGATTTGATGTCAGGATTGATCCATTCCTGTAGCTCAAACAGGTGGAATAATTATACATAACATAACATAATTCAGTAATAGTAAGCTTTTTAGGACCATTGCATTTTTTTTTTTTCATGACAATTAAACTAATTTAACCCCTAAAGTCTCATTACTGTATGTGTCCAGATGTTTTACTGTTGAGATAAATGATGATTATGATTAGATTCTCATTACTGTAATAGAGGAATTTATAGTAAATTAGTGTAATTTGTAGTAAATTTTAGTAAAAAGTTTATCATCATTTTTTTTAAAATCAGAATAAAATCAGCAAAAAAATAGTACCACAATTAATAAATAAATGAATGAATACAAGGTATTTCTACAAACTATATGTCATTATTCTCAATGATGATTATGCGATTCTCATCAAAAGTAACTTATAGTACAATTCAATATAATTTATAGTAAACTTTAGTAAAAAAAATAAAAGAGCATAAAACAATACATTTAAAAAAATGCAGGAAAATAAGACTTTTTAGGATTATTATTATCATCATAAAAAGTTTAGCATAATATTATAGCAAGCCGTTTTAGAATTTGCATTAAAAAATTTGCATTAAAATAACAGCAAAACCACTAACACAGTTAATTAATGATACAATGAATACTTCAACACTGTTTTCCAATTGTCACAGATAACAAATATAAAATGAATAGTGCTGTCAAACGATTAATCGCATCCAAAATAAAAGCTTTTGTTTACATAATATATGTATGTTTACTGTGTATATTTATTATGTATATATAAATACACACACATAGTATATATTTTTTGAGATATTTACATGTATATACATTTATATTCTTATATTTTATAATGTACATAAATATATTTAATATATAAACATAACATATTTTTCTTAAATATATACATGCATGTGTTTGTATTTATATATATATACATAATAAATATACAGAGTACACACACATATATTATGTAAATAAAAACTTTTATTTTGGATGCGATTAATCGTTTCACAGCACTAAATATTAACACTTTAAGATAATAACGTTGTTAAAACTATGAAATGACAGATCCGGAAGAATTATACTCATATATTTAAACCCAGATTACCTGGAATATGGACAAAATCAATAAATTAATCAATCAGTTAATGAGTGGTTTGAACCCCCTAAACCTAAACGATGAATCAGTAGTAATTAGCTGTAATGCAACAGTTTGTGGCATGGTTTAAATGTTTAAAGAGGTCCTATTATGCTTTTTCAATTTTTCAACTTTAGTTAGTCTGTAATGCTGCTGTTTGAGCATAAAAAAGATCTGCAAAGTTACAAAGCTCAAAGTCCACTTCAAAAGGAGATATTTTATTTAACAGAAATCACTTTTCAAAAACTACAACGAATGACTCGTTTGGACTACAACGCATATTTTCCGGGATTTTAACCCCAGCTTACCTGGAATATGGACATGTTATATTATAAAATAATTAGACCATAAACAGACTATTGAGTGGAGAAAGTTTGGTGGTTTGAATCCCTAAACCGAAATGATGAATCAGTAGTAATTTGTCATAATGCAATAGTTTGTTGCATGTTTAATACGTGGTTTGACGGTCGCGGTCACTCACACGTCTGCGCAGGCGGTCTCGCTCCTCTCGGATGCCATTCATGGTGGCTTTGGTGCGGTTGAGATCCTCCTCTTTACTGCACAGCATCGCCGTCAGGCTCTCGTTCTCCTCCCGGAGTCCAGCCAGCTCCTTCTCCCAGCGCACACGCTCCTCACACAGACTGGGGTAGAAGTCCCGGCCCAGAGCGCCCTCGATCTCCTCCGCCGTCTGCAAACACACACAGCTTTCAGCCTCATGTGACATTCCCACGTTTCAAATAAATGCTGCTAACTTTCTATTCATCTGTGAATCCTGAAAAGTAAAATGCATCATGGTTTCCACAAAAATATTGTGCAGCACAACTGTTTTCAACATTGATAATAACAAATCTCAATTTTAAAAAATTGACACTTATGACTGGTTTTGTGCTCCAGGGTCACATATTAGAATGATTTCTGAAGAATCATCATGTGGCACTGAAGAAGACTGAAGGTTTTATGTAACTTGCAAGAGTAAGTGCATACTTTTAAGGGCAAACTCCTTGTTTAAGTGCTCTGCGGCAAAAAGGAGGAGACATTTCCACATGAAACTGCACTCAAAACCTTTGCACTTTAGTCAGCTCATTTATTTATAAAGCTTTAAAAATGCTCAACAATAATAGGAAAGTTCATAAAGTAAAATAATGCAAGGCGAATAGGGTGAAAATATAATTGATCTCACCATACGTTCCCAGTTGAATAAATCACAGTACATTAAGAAAATTTTTTTGTATTACACTTTTTCTGACATGCAAATGATGCATTATGTAATTAAATTAGTGCTGTCAAACAATTAATCGCATCCAAAATAAATGTTTTTACATAATATATGTGTGTGTGCTGTGTATATTTATTATGTATATATGAATACACACACATGCATGTATATATAAAAAAAATATATGTTACGTGCATATATTAAATATATTTATATATACATTATATGAATATATACATGTAAATACAAGTAAATAATTTCAAAATATATTCTGTATGTGTGTGTCTTTATATATACATAATAAACATCCTACAGCCTGTATTGAATTATTGATAGCATGAGCAGAGGGAACAAGTGTGTATAAATATGAAATGTGGAGTCATTCACTCATTCAGCTCCACAGTCTCAGACTTTTGACTATCAACATGAGATATTGTGAAGTTGAGTCTACTTTGCAGCTCATTTTGGCCAAGAACCGCCCACTTGGACAGGAAGAGACTGACTGATTGACAGCTAAAGAGACCAATCACTGTTTGCTCTGTTTTTGTGCACCATTTAGGGGTGAGTGAATCTAAAATACACTATCATTCAAAAAAAAAAATGTTTATTAATATTTTTATTAATAATATATGCATTAAATTGATCAAACAAAGACATTTATAATGTGACAAAATATTTTTATTTCAAATAAATGCTGTTCTTTTGAACTTTCTATTCATCTGTGAATCCTGAAAAATAAAATGCGTCACAGTTTCCACAAAAATATCGTGCAGCACAACTGTTTTCAACATTGATAATAATCAGAAATGTTTCTTGAGCAGCAAATCAGCATATTAGAATGATTTCTGAAGATCATGTGACACTGAAGACTGGAGTAATGATGCTGAAAATTCAGCTGCGCATCACAGAAATAAATTAAATTTTAATGTATATTCACACAGAAAACAGCTATTTAAAAGTGCAATAATTTTTCACATTTTATTTTGTATTTTTGATAAAATAAATGCAGCTTTGGTGAACAGAATTTTTTTTTCTTTAAAAAAAAAAAACTTTTTAAAAAACAAGAAATTAGTGGGAATATTTTAAGACATTTTGTGATCTGAATTCACAGATTATTTCACACATGAATAACTTTCATGCATCGCTCTTCACCAAAGAACTAGTCACAACATTAGACAAGAGTTTTCCAGATTTTCAAATCACAAGGTCTCTTCCTGTCCATGTTGACAGGGTTTTACCAAATCAAGCTGCAGAAGTGTCAAAGTGGATAGTTACGTACTCCTTAGTTACCGTTGCTATGTCCGTGCCTCTCTCACAAGCCATGCCTCTCTCACATTACACATAATTTTCTCACGCAGTGTTTTCATCGCGGAGCAAAGAGGAAACTGACAACACACCGACAGACTGGTATGAAACAAGGTCTCAGCTTTCAAATGCTGTCATTTTTTAAAGAAATTCAAACAATAAATAGTGTTTTGTGGCTCTTTAATGTGTCGTGAGAGATCACTGAATTGCCTCAGTTAAAGCAGCATGTGAACCGATCGTCTTTTCATATTTACTGATAGCATGAAATAGACATGAATGAACATCAAAGTGTATTTTATTTCAAGTTTGAGTCCACCGAAGTTAATCAACTCTCCGGCAGATGGCGGATTTTTTGGCGTTATGATTGGTCAGATCGCCTGTCAATCAAGCTCTTTGCGAACTGAGCCAGCCAGTCAGACTGCAGTTTGTGGTACTGTGCACTATATAGTGTCTGTGGGCTCCTGTACTGCATCTGTCAGGTGTTTTACCTTGATGGCCAGATCGCAGTGTTCGCTGGCGGAGGTCAGCTGCTCGATGTGTCTGTCTACCTCCGCCACGGACAGGCTACATGTGCTCTTCTTGCGGCCGCAGAGGACGCTCTCCAGCCCCGTCAAAACCCGCTGCAGCTCCGAGTTCAGGTCACTGCAGTTATCTGGAAAAACACACGCATCTCAGTCAACCTGCAGGCCATTACTGGGAATTTCTCCAGCATGAAACTGCACTCGCATTCTATTCTAGCCGAGCCATTTATTTACAAAGCACAACAAATTCTAAGAATAATAGGAGAGCTAATAAAGTCAAATTAAAGAACGCAATATGAAAACATTAAATAAAAAAAATTAGATAAGAATTAAAAAAAAAATAGCATATAAAAGTATAGTAAAGAAAAAACACACATACAAATACTGTAATGTCTCAACTTCGTTTCTCCTTCACAGCAATGAGATCAAAGTAGGGAGCAAACAGAGACTTCTGCTGAAATCTGAAATTTGACAAGTGTCTCTTCTAAAGCTTCAGACGAGATCTCAGCAATGTCTCAAATTGCCCTTAGATTTGCCAAAGTCTGCATCAGAAGTCAGAGATCTCAACATGAACTCAAATACAGAAATTACTTCAATAATTGACATTAACCATACCTGAGAACTCCATGAAGTCTCCTGCCTAACCTGTAATAATATTATCCAAAGCTGCTCATCCAGCGTCCAGCAGGCAAATGAAATGGAAAAACCGGAGTAAATCAGAGCTCAATACGATCGCTGACATGAGCAGATTATTGATCCAGAGCTGTATTAATATTCACAACTGCAGGCAATGTGCCGTCATACATTAACCATGAAACATAAAAACACTTGTGGGAAAAACACTGGATGAGCTTCACACTGAGCCTCCAGAATTGGTTCAACACTTTAATGCACGATTCTGAAGTTTAGTTTTGTATGAAGTCAATGACACAGTCTGCACTTTGTTAAAAATAAAACAAATAAAATAATTTTTGATATTTTTTTACTAGTGGGTGCAGGACACTATAGTTCATTTATGTAAGTGAGGATAGCAAAATAAAGTAAACTGTGACATATTATACCCAAAAAGTCTACCAGTAAAATTTGGCACCAAAATGATTCAGACACTTTGAGCTGAGCATGTTTTGCTGAAGTGTTTTTTCTTTAATTGCTAATGTGATCTTTTTACACCACAGACTGAACAAAATTAAGCATTGCTTGGTAATAAATTGGTTTTTATCTAATTATGTTCTTAAATTTAACAGCTGACAACAGAATTCATTACATACCTTTCTATCAAAGTTATCTGACATTATCAAGATGAATTTGTTCTGACACAGTTTAACTCTGAGTTCTTCTCATATTTTATTACCATTTTCTAAACTATAGCCAATAAACTGTGATAATGTGAGAAATGTTGAAGGTGTCTGAATAAATTTTGGTTTGACTGTATATACAGTATATACATATATATTATACATATATTTATATATATCTGAATATATATATAACAGGGTTATTTTCGAACTAAAGCTAAAAGCATAAAAACATTCACTGCTTGAAATAATAAAAATAAAAAAATTAACTGAAATAAAATTATTTTATTTCAGCTAGTTGCCAAAGCAACATTTCTCATTTTCATTTAGTTTAATACTGAAATAACTAAAACTAAATTAACTAAAACGTAAAACTTCACAAAAACGACATAGATGAATAAAAATAAATTAATAAAATAATAAAAATGACAAAAGAACCCAAAACAAAATTACTAAAACTTTACCTAAAATTAAACGGAAACAAAATATAAATAATAAAATCTAATTTACAATATTCACTAAAACTGTAATAGTTTATCAATGATACTAAAAGTCTGAATATAAAATTGTAATTTAAAATTGACTCCGTTATTTCCACTTTTGTAATGCAAAGCTGTTTTAATCATGGCAAAAAAAAAATCTGTCATTTCCTTTCACAGACGGGAGTGATGCATGCTGGGAATGCTCCTACAATACACTCGTGATGAAAAACGCCATTAGACTGAAGGGACAATGACAGCATCCCGACTGCTGAGGCCTTTAAACGCTTTTGTGTGGAGCGTATCGGCTCGATCGAGTGGAAAAACAAAAGAAAGCAGAGCGAAGACGACGATTACACTCAGCAAAACGAGTCTGTGTGTCTTTCAGCTGCCATTATAAACCAAGACCGAAGCACTATGGGAAACACGAACTGCACAAAGGTGATTTTTCTCTCTCTCAGCAAAAGCCTTTATTTGCTCTCTAATGAACTTCACTGCTGTCTGGAAGAAACACTGGAGATCTCACTGCTGTCTGTGTGTGAAAACACAAATGAGGCCAATATTTCCCATGAGTCTGCAGTGATAAACACAGAGACGTGACCTCCAGAACCATGCAAACTCATTCAAAATCACTGTGTGAAGATAAAGGATAACTCACAACATTTCACCCCCAAATTAATAGACAAATATAATGAATACTAACAGTGAAGCCTGTTTTTAGGAGCACTGTGACATTCCTTCCCTGACAAATACATGTTCTCATTACAGAAATGCAAAAAATCTCATTCTACTGAGTTTTTGTTGTTTATTCTCAACTGGATTTCTTATTAATCTAATATAATGATTTTATTGTATTACAGAAATATATATATGTAATATTTTATTGCAATCAGGATACAATAATAGCGAAAAATACTACCATGATGCAACATATTTGACACTTTTTGCATGACAGTAATGAGCATTTTGCAGTTCAAATGTGCTTCATTGTCATGTCAAAAATTGTAATGTTTCCAAAAACAGGCATGATGTTTAATAATTAAAATATAATTGTATTTAAAGGGGTCATATGATGCTGCTAAAAAGAACATTATTTTGTGTATTTGGTGTAATGAAATGTGTTTATGCGGTTTAAAGTTAAAAAAACACATTATTTTCCACATACTGTACATTATTGTTGCCCTGCCTTTCTGAAACGCGTCGATTTTTACAAAGCTTCATTTCGTAGCTTATTACGACAATATTTTCATGACATTATTTTACATTTATATTTATTATTTTACATTTTCATTATGTAAATATATATATATTATTGCAATGACATTATTATATGTTATTTTTTTATTTTACATTTGCATTATTATAACATTTGTAAGGGTTTTATTTTATATTTACATTCATTATTTTTAATTTGCATTGTCATTTTTAAATGACATTATTTTGCAATTAATTGTATTATTTACATTTACATGTATTATTTTACACTTGCATTATAACAATTAAGCACATTTATATTGCATAATGTTCATTACTGTAATGTCAATATCTTTTTTGCATTATAGTGATGAACATTTTGCAGTTCAAATGTGATATCATAATGTCATAATAAATAAATAAAAAATGCAATATTTCCAAAAAAGGCATCACATTAAAAAATTAAAATATACTTTCATTCTTTTGATGTTGCAATGTAATACGGACATGTTCTTGACAGGCTGAGATTCCGTTCATCATAAATCATGTTTCCTATTTCCGGCAGGTTTCCTGTCTGTCAGTCTGCATTTCTGAGACTGGATTTGGAAATATAATAATCCATCAGGCTTTTGACAGCTGCTCTTACCCATGTCTGCAGTGACCAGCGTGGACTGGTTCTCAGGCAGTGAGATGGACGCCTGGTCGGGGTCCTGATCGACGCTCCGGTCGTCCTCGTTAACTTCCTGCTGGCTGTGACTGAGATCGGAGCGAAGCTCGGAAAACTCATCCTCCTCCCTGAGAAACACACACACGTTATGATGAATGAGAAGAATCAGCGCAGAAAGTGAGATGTTCTGTTGATCCTGTTTTTTTGAGAGTGTGAGCACCAATCTATGGAAGCGTGATTCCTCCAAAGATAAAAAAAAAAATTATGTTTTTTCTCTTTTCCCAGACTTGAAAAGTTAAGATGCTCACTCTCTGGTTCACTCAAATCCTTTTATAAGACTTGGGATCCCTTTTTGGACTATATTGAAGGCCTACTTTGTGCACCTGTAACTGGCAACATGTAATGTTTGTCATCTGTTAGAAGGGATTTTTTTTTTTGGTTACTTACTTATATATTGGTTAATTATATCTATTTTATTTTATTTGTTATTGTTTCTTTCTTTATTTCATTTACTGTTTTCCTGTCCATCTGAGTTAATATGAATGGGGGGATTGTGGAAGGGATTAATAATGGACAATATCTTAATAATTATCATTATTTCAATCTGTATTGTCACACAAAATACCAATAAAAAGATTTGAAGTAATAATGGTTTTTTTTCTAACAATTCTGACTTTTTTCCCATAATTCGGAGTTTACATCTCACAAATCTGTCTTTTGTGTCATAATTCTGACTTTATTCTCGGAATTCTGACTTGTTCTTGGAATTCTGAGTTTATTCTCAGGCTACGTTTACACTAGTGCGTTTTCGTTTTAAAAACGCATACATTTTTGCTACGGTTACGCCTGTCATTTACACTACTCCGGTGTCCTCGACCCTCGAAAACGGAGACTTTTGAAAACGCTGCAGACCCTGTTTTAGTTTGAAAACTCCGGGGTTGCGTTTCAGTGTAAACGGAGCAAAACGGAGACTTTTGAAAACGCTGCAGACCCTGTTTTAGTTTGAAAACTCCGGGGTTGCGTTTCAGTGTAAACGGAGCAAAACGGAGACTTTTGAAAACGATGGCATGGCTGCCCACATTCGCTCTGCGTACCCGTGACGACCGTGTAAACAATAACATCATGCTCATTGTTGTACCCATAGATATGCATTGGTAGATTCTAGGGCTGCACGATAAATCGCATGCGATATTTAACGCGCATCTTGTCGCATGCGATTTATCGTGCAGCCCTAGTAGATTCCCCATTCGACCACTCAAAGCACGTAGAAGCGTCCGTCATCTAAATAATAGGGCATCTACCTATACATATCTATGGTTGCACCTGCATGAATGGTCATGTGACATGCGCTTTCGGTTGTGTAGTGTGGATGGAGATCGTTTCTGAAACGCAGTGAAAACGCCAATGTAGATGAGGATCGTTTTCATTTTAAAATGCCGTTTTAAAACAAAAACGCACTAGTTTAAACGTAGCCTCAGAGTTCTGACTTTTTTCTCGGAATTTAGAGTTTATGTCTCGCAATTCTGACTTTTTTTCTCGGAATTCAGATATTCCCCCCCAAAAAATTCTTAGTTTATCTCTCGCAATTCTCACTTTTTTCTCAGAAACTGCATGTTTTTTATAACTTGCGATTCTGACCTTATCTTTTTTTCCTCAGAAGTGTGAATCTCGCAATTCTCCACTTATATCTCACAATTCTGAGATTATATATTGCAGTTCTGAGTTTATATCTTCTTATTTCTCAGAATTGCAAGAAAAAAGTCCCAATTGTGAGATAAAATTCGCAAGTATAAATTCCATTCATACATCATGCAATTCTATTTTTTTTTTCACCACAGAATAAAAAAAATAACAAAGTTATTTTTTTTATTCCATGGTGTAATAAAGCAATAAGCCCCAAGAAGCCGTGGTTTACAGTGATTTTATAACAGCTAAGGGGCGTTGTTAGGTAAGACGCCAAGCAGAGTGTCTAAAACCCCCTTAGCTGTTATAAATTCACTGTAAACCACGGCTTCAAGGGGCTTATTGCTTTTATAAAACAGTTATTCCATATACGTAGTAAGGTTTCACAAAATAAAACAGAGCAAATAAAAGCAGTGACTCAAACAGATTTAAATATTAGTCTGTATTGCTCTATTAAGAGATTAAAATATCTATTAAGAGATTACCAAATATGGTAAAACTTCACTTAAAGCCTTTATATATAATGCATTATAAAAGTAGTCTTAATGCATTAATTGTGTCTTGTAATGCATCTTATAATGCATTGTATGATCTCATGAATAATTGTAACCACAGTTATAATACATTATAATATGCGTAAACAAAGGTGTATGTTACTTTGTAGAGTAATTTACAACGGCTTCGAACGCGGCTCAGCCAATCAGAATCAAGGACCGGAACTATCCGCTTTATAATACCAATTCGAAGATCTTAGCAAATAAATAAATTGCATTTAGTCATGTTTCTATTTGCGATAATACAAAGCTACAAAATTAGAAACTAATTTCCTCCTAAATACTGCATACAACAGCTATTTTATCAAATGATCAAACTGCAGAGTTATGATTCAGGGACGAATATGAAAGTCAACAGAGGACTGGAGTCATTCGGCATATTCTAATTTCCCTAACGAGGATGCAAAGCCCCACCTGCTGCATACATATGAGGCGTTTCTAATTAAACACTGGAGTGGATCTCATTCACATGCAGCTGGACACACGGTTACCAGTTCACCGCATCTCCCTTCACAACTCAGTATTCATGAGCTGGGGAACGAATCAAGCTATTGTCATGCAGTTCGTTTAGTAAGATGAACGCGATATCTTCAGAATAAACGATGAAAGGAGACACTCATCTCCTGCTGGGTTTCCAGGCCAAATGACAAAATGAGACACGCTTGAGTAACATTTACCCGGACGGAGATTTAAAGGAGCATTAAAGCAGCTGATATCTGTCATTGAGCAGAGTTACAAAGCTATAAATCACAGTAAGAGGCTTTAGAGGGAAGCTTTTCTGTGCGCAGTGAATACAGAAGCTCCGCTCCAAACCCTCGTCAGCTGCCTACACAGACAACACTTCAGCCAGCATTTACATTTGTGCATTTATCCAAAGCCACTTACAAAAGAGAAGCAAAGCAATTTGAGAGTCAACAATATTTGTAATACAATCCAATTGGAAAATTATATTTTGCATAAAGAAAATTAAGCCACTAAATTTTATGTTTGCATTATATTCATGACATTATTTTACATTTAATTTTATTATTTTACATTTTAATTATTATGATATTATTTTCATGACAGTACTACTTTACATTTATATTTATTATTTTACATTTTCATTACTGACATTATTTGTAAGACTAATTTTATATTCACATTGTTTTACATTTGCATTATTATGACATTTTCAAGACCTTATTATTTTATATTTACTATTTTAAATTTTCATTAATTTGTCATTATTTTAATTACTATTATTTAGCATTACTGACATTATTCATAAGACAGCATTACTTTATATTTGCATTACCCTACATTTGCATTATGTCATTATTTTCACGACATTATTATTTTACATTTTCAATATTTTGCCATTATTTTAACAACTATTATTTTATATTTGCATTACTATGACACTATTTTCAATACATTGTTATGGCATTATTTCCAAGCCATTATCATTTTACATTTACATCTATATGTATTATTTTACATTAGCATTATGATGACATTACTTTCAAGACATTATTATTTTGCATTTATATTTATTTTTATAATTTCATTATGAAGACACTATTATTTTGCATTTATATTTATTATTTCTTATAATGGCATTATTATGACATTATTTCCATTACATTATTATTTTACATTTACCTTTATTATGTCATTATTTTTATGACAAATAAACACATTTTCTTTCCTAATTCTCAGTAATGTAATAAAACACTGTCAACTGTAAACGGTTCATAAATCAGGGCATTATTTCTTGTAATGCCTTTAGTTAGACCTGTTTTTAATTAAAAAACAAGCTGTATTACGGTTCACTGTAAAAAAAATGACTGTGAATTTAACGGTAAAAGACTGTAAAAATGCTACAGTTAAAAACCTGTTAAATGGTTAACGGTAAATTCCCCTACTATATACGGTGAAAAACTTGGACATTACATGTAATTTTACGGTAGTATACCGTTTTTGGAAGTGAAAAATGAATGACACTTAGTGTGAATGACACTGTGCACCTTCTATATATGTTAATATTTAAAAGCTGCTTGTGATAGGCTTTGGTTCATCATGTGATTTTCTCATCACCACCTGCATTTGGAGCAGTGTTTACAAAGGTACAAAACAGATTTCAGTACTTCAGTGGGTTGGTATATTACCATTATATCAGTTAGTGAAATGACAGTATTTAACTGTAAATTTTAAGTTAAAACCGTAAACCTAAAATGCTGCTACCTTATTTTTTACAGTAAAATTTTGCCAACCACAGCTGCCGTTTTTTTACGGAATTTATTTTTACAGCAAATCTATTGAGGATCAATAAAAATAATGAGATTACTATCAAACTCAGATGCATTACAGTAATTACAATTATGTGTATAAATGAGCTTAAATGTCATTAAAAACATAATAGTCTTAAAAATGGGCTTAATTATTATTATGCAATTTATAATTCTGTATTTCTTTGTATTTGAGCTGAAGTTTTCTGCCTATGGGAAGCAGCCCACAAGCTTTAGGAGCAAAAGTAGAGATGATCGGCGTATCTCCGGTCAGATGCTGAAGGGTAAAACTCTCCCAGGAATCTCTGCAGACGAGACCACCGCCGGCGCTGAAGACCAGACAGACCTCAGACAGCTGCGCTCACGCACACACACACACACACACACGCTCTCTTACTGTACGTGTGCATGCTTATGTTCCTGCACTGTAAGCTGCTTTAGATAAAGCATCTGCTAAAAGCATGAATGTAAATGTGTGGTCCAAACACAACTGTTCTCTAAGCGCTTGTGTGCAGCACATCATTTACTAATGTTTGTGTTTGTGTGTGTATTTTTATGAATGTGTGTGTGTGTTGGCGATCTCTGTGAGGAACAAATGTCCGGCTGTGTCGACTAGAAAAGAAATGTGTGTTTACATTTTCCCAGCCGACTAAAATGAGCACTAATGATGAAGAACTAATGACTGGACGAGCAGGACTGAATATTGTGCTTTGTTTTAATAATCAGTATTTATTACAGGCAGAAATTCTGCTCAAGTCAATTCATCTGTGCAGCACTTTTCACAACACTCATCGTTTCAAAGCAGCTTCACTGAAAGTCGTACTGTCTGTAATGCTTTAGTGCCTTACTATAGAGAGCTGGTGATATTATGACAAAACAGCAATGATCTGGATTCAGATGCAGCTACAGTGTATCGATAGTGTTGTGGAGCACATACATATACAGTGGGTACGGAAAGTATTCAGACCCCCTTAAATTTTTCACTCTTTGTTATATTGCAGCCATTTGCTAAAATCATTTAAGTTAATTTTTTTTCCTCATTAATGTACACACAGCACCCCATATTGACAAAAAAACACAGAATTGTTGACATTTTTGCAAATTTATTAAAAAAGAAAAACTGAAAAATGCTCAGTATTTAGTAGAAGCACCCATTTGATCTAATACAGCCATGAGTCTTTTTGGGAAAGATGCAACAAGTTTTTCACACCTGGATTTGGCGATCCTCTGCCATTCCTCCTTGCAGATCCTCTCCAGTTCTGTCAGGTTGGACGGTAAACGTTGGTGGACAGCCATTTTTAGGTCTCTCCAGAGATGCTCAATTGGGTTTAAGTCAGGGATCTGGCTGGGCCATTCAAGAACAGTAACAGAGTTGTTGTGAAGCCACTCCTTCATTATTTTAGCTGTGTGCTTAGGGTCATTGTCTTGTTGGAAGGTAAACCTTCGGCCCAGTCTGAGGTCCTGAACACTCTGGAGAAGGTTTTCGTCCAGGATATCCCTGTACTTGGCCGCATTCATCTTTCCCTCGATTGCAACCAGTCGTCCTGTCCCTGCAGCTGAAAAACACCCCCACAGCATGATGCTGCCACCACCATGCTTCACTGTTGGGACTGTATTGGACAGGTGCCTGGTTTTCTCCACACATACCACTTAGAATTAAGGCCAAAAAGTTCTATCTTGGTCTCATCAGACCAGAGAATCTTATTTCTCACCATCTTGGAGTCCTTCAGGTGTTTTTTTAGCAAACTCCATGCGGGCTTTCATGTGTCTTGCACTGAGGAGAGGCTTCCGTCGGGCCACTCTGCCATAAAGCCCCGACTGGTGGAGGGCTGCAGTGATGGTTGACTTTCTACAACTTTCTCCCATCCCCCGACTGCATCTCTGGAGCTCAGCCACAGTGATCTTTGGGTTCTTCTTTACCTCTCTCACCAAGGCTCTTCTCCCCCAATAGCTCAGTTTGGCCGGACGGCCAGCTCTAGGAAGGGTTCTGGTCATCCCAAACGTCTTCCATTTAAGGATTATGGAGGCCACTGTGCTCTTAGGAACCTTAAGTGCAGCAGAAATTTTTTTGTAACCTTGGCCAGATCTGTGCCTTGCCACAATTCTGTCTCTGAGCTCTTCAGGCAGTTCCTTTGACCTCATGATTCTCATTTGCTCTGACATGCACTGTGAGCTGTAAGGTCTTATATAGACAGGTGTGTGGCTTTCCTAATCAAGTCCAATCAGTATAATCAAACACAGCTGGACTCAAACGAAGGTGTAGAACCATCTCAAGGATGATCAGAACAAATGGACAGCACCTGAGTTAAATATATGAGTGTCACAGCAAAGGGTCTGAATACTTAGGACCATGTGATATTTCAGTTTTTCTTTTTTAATAAATCTGCAAAAATGTCAACAAATCTGTGTTTTTCTGTCAATATGGGGTGCTGTGTGTACATTAATGAGGAAAAAAAATTAACTTAAATGATTTTAACAAATGGCTGCAATATAACAAAGAGTGAAAAATGTAAGGGGGTCTGAATACTTTCCGTACCCACTGTAAATAACTTGCCCTAAGGGCAAGTTATTTGTTTTTCAATTTTTTATTTATTATTTATTTATTTTTGCCCTACGGGCAAGTTATTTATTTTTCATTGGCTCAAGTTAAAAATAATTGTAACCACAGTTATAATACATTATAATATGCATCTATTTCACTGTTACACCGTCAGAAAATATAATGCATTAAAACACATAACAAACAAAAATTTCAAGTGCTATAATGCATTTTAACTTAGGTTACAGTTATTTATGAAAAAATATAATGCATTATAACATACATTATGAATACCTATATAATGCATTATACATAAAGGCTTTAAGTAAAGTGTTACCCAAAATATAAATTGTCATTGTTATATTAAGAGATTAAAATATTTGGTAAGGTATTGAAATATTTTGTCAAATATTTTGTTAATTTAATTAATTTTTAATGATAAAATATTTATCTATTAAAAATATTGTAATTATTATTATTAATTATTAAAATATTAGTCATTATTGATCTATTAAGAGATTAAAATGTTGGTCGGTTGGCAGTTAAAATCATATCAGCCACCTCTAAGTAGTTTATACAGGCAGCTGCTAGAAAGTCACACATAATGCAAACTAGGGTTTGAGGTTGAGTGTGTGTGTGTGTGCATGCATGTGGTGTGTGTGTGTGTGTGTGTGTGTGTCTCTGTGAGTGTTTGAGTTTGAGTGTGTGTGCATGCATGTGGTGTGTGTGTGTGAGTGAGTGTGTCTCTGTGAGTGTTTGAGTTTGAGTGTGTGTGTGCATGCATGTGGTGTGTGTGTGTGTCTCTGTGAGTGTTTGAGTTTGAGTGTGTGTGCATGCATGTGGTGTGTGTGTGTGAGTGAGTGTGTCTCTGTGAGTGTTTGAGTTTGAGTGTGTGTGTGCATGCATGTGGTGTGTGTGTGTGTCTCTGTGAGTGTTTGAGTTTGAGTGTGTGTGCATGCATGTGGTGTGCGTGTGTGTGTCTCTGTGAGTGTTTGAGTTTGAGTGTGTGTGTGTGTGAGAGAGACCTGATGGTGGCTCCCTGCAGCAGGTCTATCTTCTTGTTGAGTTCGGCGATGATGCTGTGCAGCTCTGTGATTCGCTCCTCGTAGCGTAGCGTCGTTCTCTCCTGAACCTCCTCGTGCTCCTGCAGCAGATGAGACTCCTCACACTGCGTGCACACACACACACACACACACACACACACACACACACACAGTGGGACAGGGATTAATAATGCAGTTACACTGAGGAAAACTGCAAGGTGAGACAAACAAACACACATGCTGTGAACACACTCACTCACGCACACACACACACACACACACACACACACAGTATGAGTGAGAAAAATCATCACACATGCGCGCACGCACACGCACACACACACATACAGAGTTTAGATTATTTTAGAGCTCTTCTCATAAACTTGCATTGTTTTTCGAAAAGATTAATGATATTTTCTCTTTGCTAACTCTAAACTAACTCTCATACAAACCTGCACATCATCAGATTTACAGTCATTAATGTCCTCACAAGTCACTTGTCATGATATTTCACTACATTATTGAAGACATTTGACCATAAAACAAACCTCTATACACACACACACACACACACATGTCTGGTCAGCTATTCTTTTGGG